TGCTGAACCTGGGACAGTTCTGCTTTTGTACTAGTGGGATCATGCACATGTTGGCCATACCGTAATTGTCTAGGCAACAAATGGCTCAGCCTTTTAAATAAAAAAGAGCAGCACACTCACTCTGAGCAGTATGCTCATTCAGTTCAGCAGCCTCCCACAGTGCATGCAGCGACCTGTGTTGCTCCCATCCTTGATCTGACATTTAAATCTAAGCACAATAATTCGGCTATGAAATGTCAAATCAATTCAGACCGGCTCGACCTGCTCTCAGAAAAGCCTGTAAGACGCTGATCGGGATGTGCGGCCTACGTATTATTGATCATGGCTCATAAGCTGCTTTCATATGAGGTTTTGTGCTCCATGTGGAAACTAATTATTGTACGTGGATTTCAGTGATTCTCGACGACTGCGCGCCTCCGCTCTGAAACTTTGGCCGTCCAGGCGTCCCACGTGTTTTAACAATGTTTGGCTTAAGAGTTACTGATCGGGAACTTTACCTAAATCTCACCAGCATCTGCTTTCGTCGCCCTTCCGCCCCTCGGCGGTGGTAGACTATTATATGGAAGAAATGTGTACATGTTGATGCTGTCAAAAATCTGTGATCACTCGTTTATTAAAAATTCCAAATGTTCCCACCAGTATTCTGTACTGGACCTCTGGGTCACATGTCTGATACAGATACATGTGATCATTCAGAACCACGCACTTACTTCAGTTTCAGTTCTGATACCACAACAAAAAACCTTATTACACTGGTGGGCAAATACTGGCTCCTGAGTCAGATGTGGCCCTCCAACATAAGTATTTGGCCCCTGAATGAAAGCTTTCAGGTAAACAACAGGTGAAGTCCTAGTACCAACAGATGTGACCGATGATTTATGTCTTAGGCTGAAACCCAGGATGTTCAGTTGAATTAAAAGTGAAGGTCAGCGCTCATCATGTATGAAAGATCCTTTTAATGTCACAGTGCAACACAAAGCACAGTAACAACTTAAACCTCCGCCCACAGACACGATCATAAATGGGTTCTAGAACTTACTGAGCTGCATCAGAGTCTACAACAGGTGACAACACTGAAAATAAACCTGATGCTGCTTTACCTCAGACCTTCAGGTGGCTGTAGCTCAGGAGGTAGAGCGGGTCGTTTCCTAACTGGAGGATTAGCGGTTCGATTCCCGGCTT